CATGCAAAAAGGAGATAACTAATTTTAAACAAAGGGAGTAATATATTATTCAGTGCTTTGATCAATGTTTTGATCTCTGACTCTTGGTTTATGCTGAGATTTATGATGAATTCTGTTTGCTTAAAGATTTTTACCATGGCCTTTTGCTGAATTCAAGTCTCAGCTAATTGGTCTTCTAGTTTTTTCTCTTTTTTTTTTTTTTTTTGGTACATCTTTACAGTCAATTGTTCAGTCATGGTAATCATTATTCTTTTACTTGTTGGAATTTTCCTTGTGTTCAGTGAAAGGTTTTTGCTAACAAGTGCTACACATTGTAAATTAAATTACTATTCTTTCTATATTGTTCATTTTTCTAGTTGTGCATTTTGTTATAAAGTATGTTGATTATGCTACATTGCAGGGTGAAGGGAACCCGTTATTTTGAGTGCCCTCCACTTCATGGTGCCATGGTTAGGCCAGACAAAGTAAAGGTTTGTATGCAACATTACAACATTGTTTGGTGATGCTTTAATTGAAGTCTTGTGTGCTGAGCTTCAAAAATAAAATGTAAGCATGTTGGGGTTCAGTGCATTACTACATATTCACCAACTTTGTCTTGTCATATGCCTTTATGATTTGAAAGTTAAGACTATGTTAAGAGTTTGATTTATTTAAGGTATCATAAAAATCAGTAGGGATCCACTTACATAGAAGTCTTAAACATTACACTTACACAAAATCTTGACCATTCATCTCATCACTTTCAATGGTTGAAATTTATTCACTTTTTATCATATTTATGAAAGATAATTATCTTTTCCATCTAAAAAGTCATGATAAATCTCAATAATTGAAAATGGGGAGATGAATGATAAGATTTTGTGTAAGTATGATATGTAAGATTTGTGAGTAAGTGGATCCTTACTCCATAAAAATATACATCAAATCATTTGGTAATTCCTCAGTTTTATGCATTTAAATTCAGGGAATTTTTACCATTGAAACTCCATCCACAAAAGTATCCTATCAAATGAAATTGTATTTTATCCCTTGAAGTTGGTTTCCACAAGTTTGGGAGTTTTATTTATGAGTCCCTTGTTTTGTAGTCTGGTACAATCTAGACTGCAAACTAATTTTTTGTTTATATATTTACTAAGGTTTTATTTTTCTTTATTATTTCCCAGGTTGGTGACTACCCTGAAAGAGATCCCTTTGAGGAGGATGAAATATGATTGTTATGAATGGGACTGTTGCTGCATTTTATGTTGAAATGTTGATAAACCAAATGGAGCTAGAAGATTTTTCCCCTGTTTAGGTGGGATATTATTATTTCATCTTAAAGAACAAGAATGATGTGTGCAAACTGCAAAGCTGAAGGGAAGCAAAGAAAATTTGAGCCTGTATTGTGCAGAGACTGGTTGTATCTAATTTGTTTTTGCTTGTACCTTATGTTGCAGTGAAACATGAAAATTAGGTGAAGGGAAAATCGTATGATATTTGAACTGAACAATTCTACCAGTGAGATATGCTTGTAATCCTAAACCTAGGCATAGGCAATATGCTGGATTCAGAAATTTGTATCGAGCAGGGATAAAATAGATAGAAATTGGGTATTGGGTCTGAACGGAACAGGAACGTCTGCCCCAAGATTTTCCAGGGCACAGTATTGGCCTAATTAAGCAAGGTTTCAAACAGTGTTCAAAATATAAATCCCATAGAAATGGTTAGGAGCATTGAGCATTCAATCTAATTTTTCCTTTTTCTCCAGGCCCTAGGCACGCTAAACATGAAACATAGTTTTGAACACTTGTGTGCGGTAAAAATCTGTCACAGATTTTAAATTTGAATCTTTGGGCTAATTGGGAGAGTTTTCAGCATATAAATAGCCCATCATCCAACCTAAAAAAAAGAGTTTTGAACACTAAAAAACTAGAACCCACCCCCATGTTAATGACCAGACAACAGCCTGCAAAAGACACCAAACTTCTCTTTGACATACCATCAGACATGTGGCGGGCGCTTGATATCCGGTCACATTTCTTGTGTTGGAGAGATAAGAGATGGCGTTTCTGCGAAGAAAACAAAAATGGGTACATGAATATTGGTGGGAATGGGATGATGCCTCGGGCGGGGGCGGCAGAGGAAGTGCGGCTACACTAGGAACAGCGGGCAGCATATGGTCGGATGCCATGTTGAACAAATTGAAGGCTGTCTAGGATCGGTCCTTAAACTATCTTCAATTTGCACAACAATGGCATCCAGCTGTATGCATTGTTCCTTGTTTCTGAGGCCAAGCTTTCAAGCATACCACTTTTAGCAGTTTTAAGTAGAAGAGAAATGCAGAAAGGGAGAGAATGCATTTTCACCCTGATTAATTATAGGGATAACCGTCTAAATCCCAACCAATTCTAATCCACTTAATTTAAATTTTAAACCATTCACGGAGAAAAAATACAAATAAAAATGTTAACTTTATATAAATATATATTTTAATGTATTAATTTTATTAATTTTTAAATAAAAAT